CTTCTTTTTTGTCACTTTTTTGCCTTTTTTCCGCCTTTTTTTTGCTACGTTCTTCCCCTTTTTTGGCAATTCTTACCCTTGTTTCCTCATTTTTTGCCATGCCATGCCATTTTTAATTAAAGTTGCTAAGAAAAACAAAAAAAGAGCCAGGTTGAAGTGAAACTTTACAACACTTGAAAAAAAACAAGTAAAAGCTTGGATTTGCGACGCAATTGATGGGAAAAACGAGGATTTGCGATAAAAGAAGGTAAAACGCGACCAGACAGCGGCTAAAACCCGGAGGGGAAGCAGTGAAAAAACAAAACATAACGTCTTGAAGTGGCATACCTTCTTGTATTTTATTCGAGAAGATACTACCCTACCCTACCCTACCCTACCCTACTCTACCCTACCCTACCCTACCCTACGCTATCCTACCCTACTTTGCCCTACTCTGCCTTACTCTGCACTACTATTATATAAACAACCCTCCCTATTCACTTTATCCTGCTTTACCCTAGTCTACCGTGGTATAACATACTCAAGTATACTCTACCCTACCCTTATCTTGATCGCTTTACCCTGCCCTGTTAAAAACTTTGCAAGACAAAAAAATGACAAAAACTTTCTTTACAAATCAAGAAATTGGCTTTTCTAAAAAAATACCCCGCCCAAAAAATATTTTTTAAAAAAATTACCATACCCGAAAAAAATACAATTTCTAAAAAGCTGACAAACCTAAAAAATCACTATACCCAAAAATTTACCATAGCCAAAAAATTAAACCCCCCCCGTTCCCAGAAAAAAAGCCACGCCCAAAAAAATATTTCTTTTTAAAAATACCATACCCTCAAACATTATCATGCCTAATAAATACCTTATCCATAAATACCCCACCCCTTAAAAAATCTACTTCTCACCCCATAATTCAATAAGAAAGAAGCCCAAATACGTTCAAACCAAAGCATAATAGACCCCCGAGATCAAGTGAAATCTCATTTTCTCTTTCTCGCCCCCCCTTGCCTTTTTGAGCCACCGGAAATGCGAGAAACCCATTCTTCAATGCCAGGCATGTCTCGTTGCAAAAATTTGTGGCAGGTGCGGTTCGGAAACGGGAATCCACCCCCCCCTCAAGTTTTAAATAACTTGTATCATTCGCTTTCATGCATGAAATGTGATGATGAGTTCAAGTTTTAAACGGATTTTTATTGCAAAAATCTTTGAACTTTGATTTGAATAAAACAATTAAAAAATAAAGTGTACAAAAAAACGTTGACACTGACCTAAAGTAACACCTCGATTTAAGCCTAAATCTAAGCTTAAGCGTTCTAAATCAAACGACGAGTAAGTTTGTGTCAAAGCTCAAATCGAAATGTCTAAGCATAAACCCATGCTGAAGTTTAAGCTAAAGCTTGAGTTTGAGCCTACAAAGCATAAGTCTACTGAATCTAAGCCTACTAATTCTAAAATTACTAAGCCTAAATTCACTAAACCTAACACTACTACTCCTAAATTTACAAAGCCTAAGTTTACCGAAAAGCCTAAGCTTGTTAAGCCTAAGCTTACTACGCCTAAGAGTACTAAGCCTAAGCCTACTAAACCTAAACCTACTAACCTTAAGCCTACTAACCCAAAACCTACTTCTTCTAATTAAAAGCATAAATTCAAGAACCTAAACATAAGGCTACTACAACTATATCTACTAATCTTAAGCACTTTAGATTCATGACTACAGGGTGTTCCGAGAAATTTGGTCGCTAGAAATAATAGTTGCAAAGTTATGAATTATTTCTAGCGACCAAATTTCTCGGAACACCCTGTACTAAAGAAGCTTGACCGTCTTGTACCTTCCTTACCTTGTTTTACCCTAGCTTAACTTTCTATACTTTCTCTACCTTAATACTGCCCTGTATCTTGCTCTTGAAAAGCCCTATAATTAGATCATATGTCATTAAATTATCAAGCTGTTGCCTAACATAATTAGATAATAATGTAGCCTTAGAGAAATTGCAAGAATTGATGTTACGTAACGTTTTCTTATGTAATGTTGTTTACTTTGGTAATGTCTGCCTCGATGTAAAACGACCCAACAAATTACTCCGAGTGCTGGGATTTTACTTCGAATTTCTGCGAGCGGTCGTCTTTTATCTGCTACGACTAATATGACGTTGTAAGTTAGAAAACAACCTAAATCTACTGATTTTATGCTACAGAACTCAGATTAAGCTTACTAAATCTAAGCCAAACTATAAGTCTAGGAGACTAGAAGCCTAGGAGTCTAGAAGCCTATAAGCATAAAAGCTTTAAAGTGTATAAGACTAGATGCTTAAATCTAAGCTTGAGCACAAGCAAGAACATAAGCCTGAGCCTTAGCATCAGCCTTAGCATCAGCCTCAGCCTCAGCCTCAGCTTTAGCTTGAGCTTAAGCTTGAGACTGAGTCTAAACTTGAGATTGAGTCTAGGTCTGAGCTTGAGACTGAAACTGAGCTTAAACCTAGGCCTAAGCTCCACGTCTGAAAAAAAGCCTAAGGTCACTGACGGTGTCTTACATATGATTTACATGTTAAACCCACTAACCAAAGCTATAAAAACCCAAAAATATGAAGGTTTAGAAACTTAACTTTAGCCTAAACAACCCTCTAAATTATTTTTAAGTTTAAATTGTAATAAAAATGCAAAAACAAGTTCTTTCTAATACTATACAACCTAAAAACAACCTAAATTACTTCGTACTAATCATTGAAACATAAAGAAACGTGACGTTCTGTAGACGCACTTTTACCAAAAAACGGAACGCAATAAAATTGTAGCGCTCGAATTTTGTTTTGTTGCCATGACAATGACATTTCGTTATAGATAGGCATAAAAAATTAATGGATTTTGCGAAAAATCGTAGCAAAAACAATATGCTTTTAGTTTGATTGTTGACATTTTTGGTACTACGTACAACTTGGTACAATTTCAATTATTTTAAAAAATTTTAATTTTAAAAACTTTTGAAAATTTGCTATAAATTGTGGCTCATTATTTTTTCGAACAACCAAATAAAATTAAATTTTTTAAACTTTTTTTTTAATTTTTCAAATTTTTTGAAAGTGATTTTAAAATGAAATTTTGGGCTGTGTTTTGAACATTTTAAAATTTTGATGAAACGTAATTTATCATGTACATGATTGTTTATGCAAAAACAAGTTGTTTGGCTTCAGCTTTTTACGTTTGTTTGTGTTTTTGTAATATAATACGCTTCATCTAAAACTATTTTTTTCTTTTGTTTATATATTTTTTCCTTCTTTTATTTTTTTTTATTTCATCAAAAATAACATATCAAAGTGATCGCTAACTGAAGGAAAAGTAGCAATAGAGTAAGGAAGAGCTGTGCTATGACAGAATACTACAAAAGTAGGATAGTGATAAAGTAAAGCTAAGTGTTATTGGTAGGTAAGAAGACAAAAGGGTAGGGCAATAGAAACCTACAACACGAATATTATTATTGGCACAACTTATACGGCTTTTGAATAACAAATTCTTGAGCTGTAATTAGAACAAACATAGGACTAGAATTAGAGCTAAAGGTTAGATTAGAACTTAGACTAGCACTATAAATAAAGCCAAGGCTTAGATGGAAGCATAGTCTAGGTGTAAGGGCGGATACGGCTAAAACTTAGACTAGAGTCAGGACTAAGAGCTAGAGCTAGGGCTCTGGGCTAGGGCTCTGGGCTAGGGCTCTGGGCTAGGGCTCTGGGCTAGGGCTCTGGGCTAGGGCTCTGGGCTAGGGCTCTGGGCTAGGGCTCTCGGCTAGGACTCTGGGCTAGGGCTCTGGGCTAGGACTAACTTTTGTTTTTTGTATTATATTAATCTTCAGTCTTTAACCCAATTTTTATTTAAATTATTTGCTTTGGAACCGCGTTTATTAAGGGTTGTGTTTGAGAAACAAAAAAAGCTTCCAAAAGAGGGTAAAAGAAGGGCATTCGGCCATAAGAGACGAATGTGTGCCGATGTTTTCCTTTTCGGCTAGCTTTTTCGAATAGATTTTTAGATAAATTTATTGATTGGGTTTTTAATCAAACTGGGTGTTTGTTTATTGTAACTGATGTTGTTTTGGTGATAATTTTAGATTTGATAAGAACTGGAACTGAGAAAATTTAGAAAAAAAAACGATTTTTTATAAAATACGTTGCTTAAATTTTTTAAAAATTCTTATTTTTGTTTCTTATTTTGAAAAATTTAGTTTTGTGCGTAGTAAGCTAAAAACTAAAGTCAATACTAACTCTAAGCCTAAAGCTCAAGCGTATGTGCAAAGTAAATTCTTAGCTTAAGTATAAGCCTAAGCTTGAACATGAACTTGAGCCTGAACCTGAGCCTGAGGGTGAGCCTGAGCCTTAGCCTTAGCCTTAGCCTTAGCCTTAGCCTTAGCCTGAGTCTGAGCCTGAGCCTGAGCCTGAGCCTGAGCCTAAGCCTGAGCCTGAGCCTGAGCCTAAGCCTAAGCCTGAGCCTGAGCCTACGCTTGGACCTTAGTCAGAGTCTGAGCCTGAGTCTTAAGCTAAGCGCAAGCATAAGCTCAATCCTAAGCTTTAGCTTTAAAGTTAAAAAAACATCTGAATTTTTACCTTAAACCTAAGTTTTAGCTTTAGCTTTAGATTAAAGTTAATTGAAGCTTAAAGCTACGTCTAATCTTAATTCTAAGCCTGAGCTTGAAGCCTAAACTTAAAGTTTAGTTCAAGTCTAAGTGCAAAGGGCTATACTTGCTCTAACCCACGTTTAAGCTACGACCGGAAGGTCAAATATGAACCTACTATTATAAACCTGACTGCCGGTTCAATCAAAAATCGGCCCGGCCCAAAGGTCAGGGCCAGTTTACACCAGCTTTGTTTAAAGTTTTTTGCCGCACAAATTTTCAAAATGTTTAAAAATATTTGTTTTTATTTCTTTGATGATTTTTTTTGATTAATTTGAACAGATATTTTTGTAAAATACAACAAAACAAGCATTTTTTACTTTTAGCATATCCCAAAAAGAATCGAATGTTCTTCCCATTTCGGCAGTGTTTGGAATGTGTTCAAGGGCCAAGCTTTACCGCCACGCCATCATACGCACAGCTACGTGATGATGCACGAAGTATAAAGTTGAGCACAAGTCATATGGGTAAGGTTTTGTTTTAATATTGGTATTTTTAGACGTATTTTACAAAAAATGACATAAAATAAGACCTTAAACCCAAAAAAATTAATTTAGGTAACAAGATACATATTTTAAGTAACAAAAATTTAAAAACTGTTGGTATAATCATATCATTTAGGCCCAGATGTTGTTCTTTTAAAAAATTGTACTAGAATATGTGGTACTGGTGGTGCTTTGGCGACAGCACCAATTGTACAAAACAAAGCCTACTTTCAAGTCGATATTACACAAGCGGGTAGGGTAAAATCATAATTTTGCAATATTTTTTTATTTTAGGAACTTGGGGTATTGGTCTAGGCCACAGATCAATAGAACTTGGCCTGCTACCTATTGACGAATTTGCTTGGACGTTAAGAAGTTCAGGAGAATTGTGGGGGAATGGCTCATTGATTGGCAAAACTGACACGCCTTTGAATGAAGGGGATACTATTGTAAGTTATTTTGCCTTGCCTTGCTTAGTTCATGTCTTTATGCCCTAACTTGCTCTATTTCTTCCATTTTTTATTTTTACCATGCCCTACTCTACTCATTCTACAAATACTATGAATTACGCTGCCTGACGTACATTACTGTACCTTATCTATCTCTATTATACCTTGATTTATACTGTTTAACTCTATCCTACTTTACCCTGTCCTACATTGCTTTACCTACCCTCACTATTATGCCAAAACATTTACCATGCCTAAAATGTTTGAATGCTTAAATGTTACATTCCAGACGGTAACCTTTGACCACGCGGAACTAAAGTTTTATCGGAACAATGAGCCAATCCCAATTGCCATAACTTCAGTCCGTGGCCAAGTGTTTCCTCTAGTCTATGTGGCAGAGAATGCCATTTTGGATGTGAAGTTTCGAAATACAACTTGTCAAGTGCCAGCCGGTTTCGAAGAGATTATGCTTGAACAGACCTTGCTTTGATATTTTTACTGTAACATTGTTCAACATTTTTGTATTACCGTAGTATAATATAATGACAAAATGAACTTTTTTTTGTTTTTTTTTGTTATTTGTTACTGTAGCTTTTCTAGTCTTACTGTAGCTACTTGTTGTATCTACTAAGACCTTACTGTACCAAAGACTTAAGTTTTTGTGTTATATTTTAATTATTTAAAGTAAGATAGATGCTATAACGAAAAGTATACTTTAGCGCTTCATTACTTTATCACTTACTTAACCCTATACGTATTATATATATAATGTATCTAAAACAAGATAAAAAACAAGGCTTTTTTTAAAAAACTTTGTTATTATACCATGTGCTATAATATAATGTAAATCCAAATGCTTTAAAAATATATATTAGGCTATACATTTATTATACATCTATATATTTAAATAAAGAGTTTTAACCGTGTATTATCAGCGTTATGACGTAATTTAAAGAAATAGTATGAAGCAGAGTAGGATAGGGTAGATTAGGGTCAAGTAACGTAGGGTAGGGTAGGGTAGGTTAGGGTAGGGTAGGGTAGGGTAGGGTAGGGTAGGGTAGGGTAGGGTAGGGTAGGGTAGGGTAGGGTAGGGTAGGGTAGGGTAGGGTAGGGTAGGGTAGGGTAGGGTAGGGTAGAGAAGGGTAAATTGAAAAAACTTCGAAAATTTTAAATTTAAAAAAAAATATTTTTTCATTTTAAAATTTCAAAAATTTGAAAAAGGTTCTATTTCCTCCAATTTTCGGAAGAAGAAACCAGTTCAGAAGCATTGGGTAATGCCTTTTCGACCACCGCCCTCTCATCTTCGTTCAGGATTTTGTAGCTGATTGAGAGATCTTTCTGCTTTTTGTCGATTTTGTCTTGTGGCTGGGCTGAACGGACTAGGCAATATAGTCTGGCTTCCTATAAGACACATTAAATTGAGAAATTTTGAAAAAAATAGCAGGAACTTTCTTTACAAATCAAAAAATGGCAAGAACTTTCTTTACAAAACATGAAATAGCAAGAACTTTCTTTACAAAACAAAAAAAGACAAAATTTATTAAAAATTAGGTTTTATATGGCATATACACTTACAGTAACAGCAAAGTCGATTAAATTGCTGTCCAATCCTCCCTTGTCCAATGCACTTCTGTAAACCTTTTCAAACATGTACCAGTTGTGAAACATCAATTCTCCTAGTTCTGTAGGATCAGTAGAAGTGTTGAATTCGACTGAAGCTGATATTAGTTGTTCGTACAAGTCAGGCACGTTCAATTCCATACTCGCATTTTCTAAGTGTGCTGAAATAACATTTGATTGATGATTACAGTAAAGTACCGTACCCTACCCTACCCTACCCTACCCTACCCTACCCTACCCTACCCTACCCTACCCTACCCTACCCTACCCTACCCTACCCTACCCCTACCCTACCCTACCCTACCCTATCCTACCCTACCCTACCCTACCCTACCCTACCCTACCCTACCCTACGCTACCCTACCCTACCCTACCCTACCCTACCCTACCCTACTCTACCCTACCCTACCCTACCCTACCCTACTCTACCCTACCCTACCCTACCCTACCCTACCCTACCCTACCCTACCCTATCCTACCCTACTCTACCCTACCCTACCCTACCCTACCCTACCCTACTCTGCACTACTACTACTGCTTTTCCTATTCATATCTCTGCCCTAAATCTTCACCATGCCTATAAATAGCCATGATGAACGAGCCGAGTCGGCTTTTACCAAAATTTGAGTCAAGCCGGGATTGCAAAATAGGCCCGGCCCATTTCTCAGGTGTACCTAAAACGAAACTGTGCTTAAAACTTTACCACGCCCAAAAATTTTTATTTTTTATAGCTGTCTTGCCCTATTCTAAAAATTCAGCCACAGGGCAAAGTATCGACGGTTTTCTGTGCCTTTCCTTATGTACAACCCAGATTACGGGCCAAGCCTGCAGGCAGAAAAGCTCAGCTCTAACCCGGATGCTAAATCTACCCCCTTCCTTCAAAAACGAGCTCGACTTACTAAAATAATCATCGACCAGTAAGTTGGGGTCCAGCCGACATCCATCGACTCCAACCAACACGATAGCTGCCAGAATACTGTAGCGTACCATTGCCATTTCGCAAAACGTTCGGGACTAGACTTTGCACCCGGAAAAGTGAAGTTGGTTCTCTTTTAAGGCCGCGGACTGAAGTGTTTCAGTGGGAACGAATTCAAGTTCTGCAAACCTAATCGACTTAACGCGGAGCTAGCACCAGACAAACAGTATGACGTACAAGAGGGTCAAACGAAGTGTGATAAGTACGAAGGGAACCTGGAAAATAGAATATGATAAGTACGATGGAAGACTGGAGAATGGAGTATGATGAGTACGAGAGGGTTTGGAGAAGGATTGAGGTTTTGCAAGGCTTGAAGACGTTAGAATTTTAAAAAGTTTAATGAAAGTTTTTAAAATTTTAAAAATTCAATTTTTTGATAAAATTTTTAACACTTAAAGTATGTACTTAAGCCTAAAATTGAGCTCACAAATATGTTTAAAAACTGCTAAACCTAAAAATTGACTTTAAGCCTAAAATTGGGTTCTAAGCCTGAAAATTACTTTTTAAGCCTAAGCATTGCTTTTTAAGCCTAAAATTTCTTTTTATGCTTAAGCTTTGAAATCTGAAAAAAATTTTTTTATGCATAAGCTTTGAAATCTAAAAAAAAATTTAGACTTAAAAACATTTTTAAGCCTAAAGTTCACTTCAAAAATATATGTTAAACCTACATATAAGTCTAGCCTAGAATTTGCTTTTTTAGCCTAAAAACCTTAAAATTAAAAAAAATTAAAAAATGAAAATTTGAAGCTCAACTCACAAAGTTCAATTCACATTTGCCGGACGAATCCAAACTGAACACAAAATGAACTCTGTTTATAGTGAAAAAGATAACTTCAGAATCCGTCTCCAAAGTCATTCGATTCCCTTTTGTTTATTCGAATTCTTTGCTCTGTCTGGTTATCTTTTCGTGTACGTTTATTGTAAAAACCACGACAAAATCCACAGTCAAAGGCAATTTTTTTTCAATTGGGGGGGGAGGGGGAGAAAGATTGAGAATATGGGGAGTGAGTGAAAGAATACCTTTGAAATCAGATTCGCTTTACACTTTTTGCAAATAAAATCTTTCGTTGCAAGACCTAAGCCGACCCCTGGGTAGACACGAGAAACGGGCAATTTTCAAGCCCGGCCCGATCGAAATTTTCCTCAAAGCCGGCCCGTATCTCATGTCTACTCCTGGGGTCATGGTTCAGGCTCCGACAATCTGGCCCAGCACCTTTCAGATTTGTTTCGGCCCAGTCTGGAGCCCGACCTTTTGAGCCCTATTTCAAGTCTAGGAATAGTATTGACTGACCATCCCAAACCCCAACACACAAAAATGTTATCATTTATCATAACTACATTACACAACTGGAGTCCGTTGATAGCGATATTTTTGAGTTTCGTTGGGTTTTTGAGGTGGAATCCATCCTTCTTTGATCATATCTTCTTCTTGTTCATCTAATGATTTGGTTTTCCATAGATTTGACAATTGATACTTTTCTCGATTCTCTTCTGTCATGATATGAATCACCAAGTTGTGGCAGTCTAATAGGTACCAACCGGTTTGATTCTTCACTCTCGAGGGATTGCTCTTCTAAAAAATTCTTTAAAGTTTGTAAAGTCTGGAGATTTAGGTAACAAAAAGGTTAAAAATTGCTTTTTAGGTAATAAAAATGAATTTTGGGTAACAACAGTAATTTTTAAATAAGAAAAATATTAAAAATGGTGTTTTTTAGGTAATAAAAATCGCTTTAGGTAACAAATATACAACCCAAAAAACTTACTCCAAAATCATAACGTTTAGTGAAATGAAGTCGAACCTCTTCAATCAACACTGAAGCATGCCTTGCAGTATAAGGCGAAGCAACAACTATCTGTTTGAAAGGAGCATTCTCTTCTTCAATATCCACTACTTCAATGTTTTTTGCTCTGAAAGCAAACTTTTAAACGAAAACTTTGTAAATCTAACCAAAATATACATAAACCTAGCGAAAAATGTACAAATCCAGCGAAAAAATATATAAATCTAACCAAAATCAGCCATTTTAAAGATAATACAGCTAGTTAAAACCTTGTGCTATCAAAAACAAGCTCTTAAACACCCAAAAACCATACTTCAGCTCCTCCAAAACACTAACAACCTCTTCAACCGGTATTTCCAATAACTTTTGTTTAGCCAAATCCTCGCTAAACTCCCTAACCTGCTCTACTGCAACATCTTCTTCAATCTCCTCCTCTTCTTCTTCATAATACTCATCAATATACTGATTGAAATAGTCATTAATCTGTTGAACTCGCTTTATTTGTTCATTCATATCGCCTGATGAATAACATCTTGATGAAACTTGAGAAGAACAAGCAAATTGAGCTCCAAATTGAGGTACAATTAAGGATTTTGAAGGTTGAAATTTTGAGAATGGTCTTACAAAGGATTTGAATAGGTTTAGTTTCGAAGGATTCATATTGGATCTGAAAGAGATTGTTGTAGGTATCAACTCAATTAAATTATATTTAAAAGCTTCAAAAGAATCTAATTCACGACAGTGAAAACACAAGTAAAACTGAATGTTGCAATAATAAAAGCCAGTAGAAAGTGAAGAAAATGAATGACCTGGTCAAAGATTCAAAGAAGAATAACAAGGTTCGCTACGGAACAAAAAACCAACCCCGCCTACAGATCAAAACAGTCGCAGGTTTCGAGAAAAGCAACTTGAAACACATGTGAGGGCTGGCGAAAATAGAAACATGCCAAAATCTTGCAAACAACGGACTTAATACCTAAATACATAACAAAAAAAACGCAAAATAACTTACAGCTAAAACAACGTTTAGATTATCCAAATTTTGAACTCTTTTATCAAGTTAAAGGTAAAAGGTTGTAAAAATAATATTATTTTTATTTACGCCTTATTATACATCTTTGATCGTATAATATATCATTCACAACATAGCCAGTTCGTCCCGACACGAAATCAAACAACGATAAAAGCAAACAAACAAAGCGAGATAGTGTGATGAAACAGGAGGGTGGAAAAGAACCGTTTGTTATCCGCCAGTTTTCGGGAGAGAAAATTGTTTTTGGCTTCAAACCTGCTTTGAACAAGGTTTTTATCGTTTGTTACTATAATTTCTGATTATCTACATTGATTTTAGAGCTACTGTTGGGTTTATATACGTCTAATTACTTTTCTATTGATTCCACATTGTTTTAGGTGGCGAATTTGGATTTTGGACCTACTTTGATCTAGTTTTGACGTTTGTTTTATTTAATTTGTTGAAATTTCAAAGATGGCACAATCTTCAATGATGCCGTTGCTCCAGCAGGAGGGAACTGTAAGTGTTTTGTTAGATTTTTTTTTGTTTTAGGAGGTATATACATCTGATATGTTAAGATTGAAGTTTGGGCCGAAAAAGCGTGAAAATTTAAATGAATTTTTGAAGCTATAGCTGTCATTTTAGCGTGTGAACTTACTACTGAACACAGTTTTCTTCAAAACTTCGTTTATTAAAGGTTTATTGATGTTATTGTAGGTGTACGTTGGCCCCGGAGCAAAAAAGGAAGCTCAAGTGATTGGTCTTGGCTTGATTAGGTTATCTGGTCGACAGAAGGATGATTTGGAAAGAGCCAAACGATATGCAATGGATACTTCGATTAGAGCTGTTCTTCAGAAGCAACAAATTGCTCATCAACAAAATGTAGGTATCAGTAATATTTATATTAATATTGTTGCCAAATATGATTTTTTCTTTATGTTTTTAAATGACATAAAATGTTTTTTATATAATCTAGAAGGCACTCTAAAGGCTATTTGTTCAAACACTATTGTATTTTACATTATTTTAAAAGTTATGTTTAAAAACCTTGATGTAGGTATCAAACTATGTAATAGAATATTGAATTTTAGTCAATATTTACTATTTTAATGACATTTTTTTCTGTTTCAGCAACAAAAGTTGGCAATGTACACACAAGCACTCAGTTTGATGGCTCGAGTCTACATTGGATCGATCAGTTTTGAGGTTCGCGAAGAGAATATCAAACAATCTTTTTCAGTTTTTGGGCCGATCAAAACTATCAACATGAGCTACGATGTGGCCACTGGGGTGAGTTTTAATTCTGATTTGATGTATGATATTATGGACGTTATTCTATTTATTTTTTTTGGGTTGATATTATAGTAGATTTTAGGTAACAAATTTTCAAGTTTTTTTTGGCTTTTTGATATTTTTAGGTAATATAAAGGGATTTTAATGAAGTTTAATGATATTGTTTTCAGCATCACAAAGGCTTTGCTTTTTTGGAATTTGAAGTTCCGGAAGCGGCTCTTTTGGCCCAAGAATCCATGAATGGAAAATTGATGGGCGGCCGTAACTTGAAGGTAATTTTTAATTTTTTTTGGTTTTCTACTGTTTTTTAAAATTCAAATCCATTTTTAAATTTTAAAAACTATTTTAAATTCGAATTTCAGGTGGGCCGACCTTCTAACATGCCTCAGGCTCAGCCAATCATTGAGATGGTAACTCAAGAAGCCAAAGATTATCATCGTGTTTATGTAGCTTCAGTACATCCAGATTTGAGCGAACAGGATCTACGGTCGGTGTTTGAAGCTTTTGGTGTAATTATTAAAGTTCAGCTGGCTAAGCAGTCAAATGGCAAGGGACATCGGTAGGTTTTTACTTGTTTTTTTTAATTTTTAGGTTATAATTAATGAAAATGGCACAAATGTGAGGGACATAACAAAAAGTGGCAAACATTTTATTTTAAAATCAAAAAATGGCAATAACTTTCTTTACAAGACGAAAAATGGCAATAGCTTTCTTTACAAAACAAAAAAATGTCCATAACTTTCTTTCCAAGTTAACTAACAACCGAAGTTTAATGAAAATGGAACTAAAAACGTCATTTTCAGTGGTTTCGGCTACATAGAGTTCAACACTGCCCAAGCAGTACGAGAAGCCATCGAAGGCATGAACAACTTTGACTTGGGTGGTCAATACCTACAAGTTGGTCGATGTATCACACCACCAGAAGCTCTAACATACATTGTTCCCACTAACACAACAACGCTACCTACAGCAGCTGCTGTGGCTGCAGCGGCCGTTACGGCACAAATTCAGGCTCAGGAGGTCGTGGGGAGCGGGGTAAGGCTTTTTTTGGTACTTTTTTGGACGTTATTAGCTGTTCTTTAGGTAATACTTTGAGATTTTTTTTTATTTTTAAGTAACATTTTGAAAGTTAATATTTGTTTAGGTAACAAATATGAGATTTTATTTTGTTTTAGATATCAAATGAAATTTTATGTTGTTTTAGATGGCAAATTAGCTTTTTGTGTTGTTTTAAACCAGTTGATACCCTACTATAAGTTATTTTGCGAATTGATAACGATTTAAAAAATAATTGAAATTAAAATTTTTTGAAATTCGAAAATTTTCAGAACGCTGGAGGACCATTGGCAATCGCGGCAGCAAGCTCACCACACTCAAAAGGTTTAATTAATACTTATATTAAGAATTATTTATGATTAATTAATGTACATTATCATGGTAATTAATATGCGGTTTTTGAATTTTTGAAAAAATTATATTTTAGGTATTAATCTTGTTTTTGAGGGGTTTTTTAAGTGTAAAACATTTTTTGAAGCATTTTAGGTATCGAAAAGCAGTGTTTTAAGTATTTTAGGTAATAAAAATGAGTTTTGATGCATTTTTAGGTAACATTTTCTTTAGAAAATGAAATTTTAAAAAATTTTCTAAAAACCGCATATTAAACTTGTATTTATTTTCACTGAACTCAAAGATAACATTAGGTTGAGATAGGGGTAATTAATGTCGTTTTAACTGTTGTAAAACTTTTAAAATCATAAATCATTACGTTTTAAATCGATTTTCTATTCACTTTTGTCATTTTTTGTTGGTTTTGGCATAAATTTTCAAAAAACGGCCAGAAAATTGAAAAAAATGGTTGAAAATTGAAAAAAATGGCCAAAAATTCAAAAAAAAAACGTCTAATAATTTTGAAAAAAACTATAAAAAAAGGAAGAAATGGATGAAAAATTGACCGGTTAAGCTTAGGTTAACCTGCAAAAGTTTTGAGCATTTAAGCCTGTATTCATTACTTATGTATTCATTATTAATTCACCTGCCATTACTGTTTACACTTCTCTATTTTCAGGACATTTCTTACCCATTCTCGGCCGCCATGAATATTGTAATCGTTTAGAGGGATTTTGTTAGGTTTTTTTGGGGGGGGGGGTGGTTTGAAAAGGTATAGTTAGGCAAGCCTTTAAAAAAATTTTTTTTTTAAATTACGTAATAAGAAAAAAAAAGAATGTTTCAAAGCTTTTTTTTCTGCTTGAAAGCCCATTTTTATCCTTAAAACATGTTTTACGAAGCTACTATAACTTTTTGTTTTGTGGGTGTTAGGATACTGTAACATTAAGCCGAACCCCATTTCCAATGACTGTCATGTTTTGTTATTTTCAGGCCCATGCGATGTTACAGTATGTCGTGCCGAGTGGACGCAACATCGATTCTTTTGGTAGGGCTTTAATCAAGCCTGTCCGGTCAATAAGCCCTTAGGCTTGTATTTTTGATTTTTCTTGCTCATTGTGCCAAAACGTCTTAAAACTGATTTAAAATTAGATCTTTTCGAACTTTTGGTTTATGGACAAATGGGTAACAAGCCTATTTTTCATTTTTTATTACCATTTTTTATTCTTTGGTATCAGTTTTTAAGTATAACCACTTTGGCACAATAAAACTGATCTTTAGGTATTGTCTGATCTAAAAAACAATATTATCATGATCTTTACTGTCTACTCTAACATATTTTCAATGTTATGTGCCTTTAGAGGGCCATAGGGACTTGTAATGCTCAAAACTTTTGCAGGTACCCCAAATCGACCGGTCGATGCCTCAAAATGGCTGTTGTTGGCTAGATTTTAACTCAAAGGCTAGTATAACGTGGGCATATGGTTAATAGTAAGCTCATAACTGATTTGACAACAAAGCCATTGACTAGCTTATCACTCGGCCAGAAGATAAATATCCCTGAGCCAGAAGCCAAAAAGAGATGGCAGTCTGAAGCAATGAGACCTTAGACAGTAATGGCATTGAGAATAGGCTGAGCTAGGTAAAGCGAAACCCTTTGTTACGGTATCTAATGGTATGTTTAGGTCGTCGATCGCGCAGTAGAACACCGGAGCGACGAAGAAGGTCCAGGAGCCGAGAACGTCGGGATCGAAGAGACGACAGAGATCGCGGCAGAAGGAGAGACGAGAAAAAGGAGGAGAAGGTGGAATCAGGCGGCCGAAGACGAGGATTCGGTGGATTTGCGGCCGCTCCAGCACCAAACGTTGTTGATCCATTGGCATTACCTCCAGTCTCGGTAGTGGATCCCGTTACGGCGGCTAGGACGACGCAGCTAGGGCTAGTCCAGCCTGGTCTAGTACAGCCCGGACTAGCTCAACCTGGTTTGGCACAGCCTGGACTGGCACAACCTGTTTTGGCACAACCTGGTTTATCACAGCCAGCGCTAGTACAACCAGGATTAGGACAGCCCACAGTAAGACAGCCAGGACTGGTACAGCCTACAATAGGCCAGCCAGGACTAATACAACCAGGATTGTCACAGCCTGGACTAGTACAACCAGGCCTAATACAGCCCCCAACAGCCCAACCCGGTCTAATCCAGCCTTCCCTAACCCAGCGATCGACAACCCAAACCAACGGTCATTCTCAACCACCTCCACCACCCTCGCCCCCATCAGAATCCGAATCCAGCGACGATGAACCAGCTCCAAGACAAAAGTCCCTCAGCCCAATCCCGGCCGAACTATTCACCGCCGCGCCAGTTCATCACGAAGAAGAGGATGTTAAGCCGGTGAAACGAGCCACAGGCAGCTTTGTCCCATTGGCGTCGGAGATGGTGACGGTGAAGCCAGAGAAACCAAAGAAAAAACAGGATTTGATCTCCAGAATCAAGATCAAACACCAGCCAAACCCAATGCAACGGGCCGAGTTTGGGCCGCTCGATGGCACTACCTCGTTTAATGAAGAAGGTAAGGGACTTGGATCGTGATTTTTAAGTGTGAAAAATTTTTTTTGAGGGCGTGGGTAAAAATTTTTTTTTTGATTTTTAAATGGATATGGATGGTCAAAAAAGGTTTTATTTGTAAACAGGGATTTAAAAGCCGGCCGAAAAAATTTTGGGCGAGGTAAAAAAGTTTTTTGGGGGTGGTCCCAATTTTTTTTTATTTCGGAAGCTTTTTATTTTTAAAAAATTTAGTTTTTATACCGAATATTTTCAGAAGACAAGGAATCCCACAACTCAACCCTAGCCATCACAAATGGCAGCCAAACCAACGCCCTAGCTCTCCTGAACGACAACAACATGCAGATCGCCAAAACACAAGGCCAATCATCAACAACAAAGAAAGGCACGACACTAGCGACCGGCGAAAAGAAGAAACCTCGAATTCAGAAGCCCAAAAAAGAACGAAAACCAAAGCTAAACACAGCAAGTGCATTGGCAGCAGTCCACAAAGCTGGCGTCATCAACGAAAAGGTACAACAACAAGCGCAGAACAACGAGGAAGCCTCGTTATCATCCATGGAGCACGTCGAGATCAGAGGTAACGATGCCAGACACATGTTGATGCACAAACTCATGAGAACCAACCGCAGTTCGGTAATTGTGCTGAAGAATGTGGCTACGGAAGTGGACGAGTACCTAGAAGAAGATATGAGAGAAGAGTGCGGGAAACATGGCACCGTGACAAGTGTGGTCCTCGTAGAGGAAAAAGAAGCCAGTCAAGTGAGGATCTTTGTCCGTTTCGCCGATCCAACTCAAGCTGATGTCTGTTTAAAAGTCATGAACGGCCGATGGTTCGATGGACGTCAGATCGAAGCCAAATCTTATGATCAGATTCTGTTTGAGCACGACGATTTTACAGGATAATATGATTATTTGCTGTGTCGTATATAAATATTACTTATTTTACACATATTGGTTAGTTGTGATACAGTTTAATTTTAAAAAGTTACCTAAAAGCTTTAGAAATTTTAAAACTGTTCAGCAATTATATTGTTTTAGGTGAGCTATCATGATCTAAAACATCATAAGTGGTGACTCGGCCGTTCTATAAAAAGCATTTTGCTTTTAAAAGATTCTAAACATACTTCTGAATGTTATTATAACAACAAATTTTATCAAAACGAAAAAGATTTCTTGTTATAAAAAACTTTCAGACAAACAAAAATTTATGAAAAATTGGCAGAATATACCTAAAACACTCTAGATTCATTATCCAAAACCTTGCCTTAATCACTATCCAATTATGTCGATGCTCGATCTTTGAAAAGGTAAAACGACCAAAAAACCAGAAGGCCAGGATTGACTCAAAATTCTTAGTGGGTCAATTGTTTTTCTGGCCAGCTTTTCGGCGAAGTTTTTTCTGATATGTTATCGATGTTTTAAGGGCTTTTCTTTAATTTTTACCATTTTTATATTGTTTTAATTAATTTTAAATATTTTTAAAACTTTTTTCATTAATTTCCGAGCCGATTTCGATATTTTTCAAAGTTTTGTTTAATGAGGTTCTTAATATAAAGTATAACATGTACATAATTGCCACAAATATCAATCCGCCCACACTTCATTTACTTGCTGGTATTGTTAACATTCTTTTTGGTCGTTTTTAATGGTTTTTATACCTTAAGTTGGGTTTAAGGTAGCTTAAAGTAGTTTTAAGGGACCTTAAGGTAGGTTTAGTATACCTCAATGTAAAATATGAAGCAGGGCCAACATAGACAACATAGTATACAATCGTGATTAATTACAACATTGTTTTCTGATACGAAACATATTGACTATAGTTTTTCAAAAAATTCGAAATTTCAAAAAAAAAATTTCGAAATTTCAAAATTTAAATTTAAAATGTTTTCAAAAGTAAAATGTTTTCAAAGAATTGCACCATCCAATATTAGAGAGATTCTTAAAGTTAAGAAAAGACTGGTAAAAGTAATGTCATGATTGCTGTTGGTTAGTTGTCAATTAACAACTGGCAAGAGGTTGAAAATGAAAAAAAAATTATTCGCTATTAGTGGTACCGCTCAGCAGGCGTACCACGTTGTTCAGTTGATCACTGGCGTCGTCGCGGAACCGCGTGACTTGAGTGTTGATGCCGGTTTGGAGTTGTACCAGGGTGTAGATGCTGTTTAGGGCCATTTCGAGCTGTTTCTCGAGGCGCTGTACTCGACCGTCTATTGAGTGGACTATCTGTAAAAATAAAAAATCACGTTTTTTGTATTAAAATGTTTATATAAAAACCCCGCCTTACCCCTAGTTTTGTAAATTTAAAATCCGAGCCTATTTTACAGAGTGCGCCAAAAGTTCTGTTACAAAACTTTACCGGTCGTCAAATCAAAGAATCACTCCTGCCTTTAAAAAAACAATTCCATTCCCCTAGCCCTTTGTCATTCCCATAAATTTTAAATTCCATCTTCCCCCGCCCTCCTTATCTTTGAAAAAAATGAAACCCTCCCCCCCCACTTTTAAAAACAAAAAAAATTCAAATTTATCCCTACCTGCTCCATTTTGACGCACTGACTACTGGACGCCTTCAGCTCTGACACAATACTCAACAATTGCCGAATGTCGGCGTGTAGCGATTCGGACGACGCTTGCAAGTCCAACGTGTCATCCGGATTGGCAGCTGGCGAAATGTTGTGAATGGTGGCCAAATGAGTAATCAGGTCTTTGGCTGAAAAGGTTTCCAAGATGAACTCAAGTACACGCGTTTTTTGAAAATTTTTAAAAAATTTGAACTTTTGTGCAGGAATTACTACTAGGGCTAGAGCTAAGGTTAGTGCTAAGACTAAAGCTAATGCTAGAGCTAGGGATGGAGCAAGAGCTCAGGCTAGGACTAGGGCTGTGTTTTCAAAAACATAATATAGCCAAAAAAATTTTCATGAATTTTACAAAAATTTTTGGCAGTAGCCTTAATGGCCGATTTAAAAAGCTCATATTTTGTATGTTACCCCTACCCTTGCCCTAAAAAAAATTTTTTTAAAAGAAAAGTTGAACGTGGTCCCCCCTGTGGATTTTTTTCCAAAAAAAAATTTTTTTCTAAATTTTAATTTTTTCCTATTTATAAACGTAGAATAACGTCTTTATTAGTGTTGTAAAATCCATGAGTCTTGTTCCTCTCCTACTTTACCCTACCCTCAAAAATATTTTTTTTTCGAAAAAAGTTGAACTTGGTCCCCTCTGTCGATTTTGTTTTGCAAAAAAATTTTTTTTATTTTTTTTGATTTCTTTGCCTAAAAAAACGTCGATTAAAATCCCTGTACCTTCAACCCTACCCAAAACCTTCAACTTCCACAGTATTAAAAGTTAAAATCACTTACGTTTTCGGACATGTTTACCGCATTCAGGACATTGAGTGGCCTTTAACGTTGAACTATTCTTCGTATCCTCATCAATTTTTAGTGATTTGTTTAAATCAGCGAATGCATTGTTTTTACTGTGTAAGGCGTTGGCAGCATTGTAGAATAATGCGTTTAGTTGTTGGACATTCGAGTTGGAGGAATGACCTACGGAGCCATCATCCGTTGAGTCGTCATGCTTCTCTTCATTGTCTTGATCAACGGATTCGTTAGTCATGTTCATGAACTGGTTGCATTTTTCGAGCAGCTGGTCGTTTGTGCTGTTTCCTGAAGAGAAGATGGGTTAAACTAGGGATATCGCTGTGGCCAGGGTTAGGGCTTAGCTTAAACCTAGAGCTTAGGCTAATGTTAAGGCTGTGGGTTAGGCTAGGGCCAGGGATTAGGCTAGGGTTTAAACTACCGCTTAGGCTAGGGCTCAAGCTAGGGCTAGTGATAGGGGCTGAATCCTCTTACCAAGACCTGAAGATTCGCTTTCTCTATCATCGGATGAGTCTCCTTTCAGGTCCAACGAGCCGGCATCCAATCCAAATGACATTAAGAAGCCGTTCAACGGTGTGTTGTCCATTTTATTTTCCATCGGCGTGGCCTGAAATTTGCATATTTAACATAAAAATTTAGTTAAAACGTCAGTAAAATCGGTCTTTGACTTGATACTTTTAGACTTAAAAAATATAGTGGGTTTTGAAAAATTGCCATAACTTTTTGATGCTATCTTGAAATTTTACTAAATTGTGACTTTAGATGCTTAATACAATGTGTTACAATACCACAAAGTTGCAAAACGTTCAGCCTAGTACTGACAACAAAGTAAGCCTTTCAAATTGATCAACCCATCCTACTATAATATTTTAGATCAAGACATATAAAATCAAACATAACTTTTGACAAGCCTTATGAAATTCTTTAAAATTTTGCCACAATACACTACAATATATACCTAATCTTGTCACAAGATTTCAAAAATCCCAGTTCAGCCCAGACTAAGTTACCCCGCTACAAAAGCCTACTGGTAAAAACCTACCGATCCATCACTAGCGCTCAAATTACTGGTCGAATTTCTCGAATGTGGTTGAGCCGAGAACTCTGATCGGCTAGGCACACCATTCCCATTGACTGGCGTTCCATCCGGGTTCAGGACGATCATAGACTTTTCCAAAAAGTCGATTGCCGCAGGGTCTTTGACCGACTTTTTGCCTTTTTTAATGATTATATCGTCGGTGCCAATGTGCTCGATTTGTTCGGAACGATGATGCTTTAGAATGTGCTTTGTGAGGTTTCCTGAAGTGAGAGATGCATTTTAGGATGGTTTTGAGATAGAAAATTTAAAATTAAAAAATTATAAAATTAAAAAATTTTTAAAAAATTTTTTTAAATTTTGAATTTTGACACAAAAGTATTGAGATTTTTTAATTTTTTCTAATAAAACAAATAATTAAGCAATCAGGAAGAAATTTGAAAAACCATCCCCAACATATTATTCTAATTGATTCCATATTTAATCCAAACTGAGAACCAAAAACCAATAGTTAAATTTAAAAAAAGTCGAAAAATTTAATAACTGCCACTTTTAAATATTATAGGATTATCTCCTCCGTTCGCCCATTCGTTTGACATTGTGTGATTGCACGTTCAAAAAGGATGTCAATACCTTGTTATGTATATATGATAGCGACTATTATTCATTGTAAAGACTATTGAAATGTCATAGTAATTACAGTAAGCCTAGCCCTAGCCCAGAGCCCTATCCCAGAGCCCTAGAACAAAGCCCTAGTCCAGAGCCCTAGCCTAAAGCCCTAGCCCAGAGGCCTAGCTCAAAGCCCTAGCTAAGAGCTCTAGCCCAAAGCCCCAGTCCAGAGTCCTAGCCCAAACCCGTAGCCTAGAGCCCTAGCCCAGAGCCCTAGCCTAGAACACTGGCCCAGAGCTCTAGCCCAGAGCCCTAGCCCAGAGCCCTAGCCCGAAGCCCCAGTCCAGAGCCCTAGCCTAAAGCCCTAGCCCAGAGGCCTAGCTCAAAGCCCTAGCTAAGAGCTCTAGCCCAAACCTATAACCCAGAGTCCTAACCCAGAGCTCTAGCCCAAAGCCCCAGTCCAGAGTCCTAGCCCAAACCCGTAGCCTAGAGCCCTAGCCCAGAGCCCTAGCCCAGAGCCCTAGCCTAAAGCCATAGCCCAGAGCCCTAGTCCAGAGCCCTAGCCCAGAGCCCTAGCCTAGAGCCCTAGCTTTTTAGACTTAGTCTTTCTATTATAGTTTAGTTTTAACCTTAGTAGTTCAGGCTCAGCCCTATTCTTCTAGCAATACCACTTTAAAATTAGCCTTCTAGCTTTAGCCTTAGACTTTCATGCTCAGCCTTAGATTTTTAACCGTTAGCTCTTAGGTTTAGCCTTCTAGCTTCAGTTTTTTAGGCGTGGCTATAGTCTTTTAGCTTTAGCTTTAACCTTTACTTCCAGCCCAAACCTAATTTTGGCATAATGATGTCGACATTCTATTTAAAGTATCAAAATCAACCCACGTGTCACAGTAAAAACGTATTTACACTACATAAAAAACCCTTAAAAATTGTTTGAAAAACTGGCTAATTGTCTATTTTTAGCTCATTTGGTGCTTTAAACATTTTGTAATTACAGTAATCCCTTTGGCATACAAAAACATGTGATAGAGAGAGAGAGAGAGAGTTATCCAATTAATAACCTTCGCTTTGGGTATTATGAAACATGGATTATTCATGCAGTTTTGACACGCGATACTATTCGCAGTACGTTAACTTTATATTCTTTCAAAGCTGCATAAACAATTTTACAATGTTTGTAAATGTTTCTTTTAGTGACGAGAAGTTAAAGCTATAATAATATTTTTGTTTTTAGTTTTTAGGCTTACGTTAAGGCTTAGTAGCTTTTTACCAATGAAGCTTGGACTTAATAAGCCGAGGCTTACCAGGCTTAAACTTAGGCTTAGTATGCATAAACTTTTCTTTCTTCCTAGGCTTATGCTTAATAAAAGTAAGCGTAAAAAAATAAGGGTTTTAGGCTTAGGCTTTGCTTTAGTAAACTTAGGCTTAGGAGGCGTAGGTTTAGTACGCTTAGGCATAATAGGCTTAGGTTTAGCAGGCTTAGGCTTAGTAGGCTTATGCTTAGTACGCTTAGGCATAATAGGCTTAGGTTTAGCAGGCTTAGGCTTAGTAAGCTTAGGCTTAGTAGGCTTAGGCTTAGAAGTAGTAGGCTGAAGCTTAAGGGGCTTACACTTAGCAAACTTAGGCTGAATAATCTTAGTAGGCTAAGCCTGATGGGCTTTAATTTTGTAAATCAAAAAAGTCTTACCCTTCAGCCGGCTGGATTTTCCACAAAACCGGCATACGAACGGTTTTACTGCGGTGTGAACACTTCGATGCTCCGCCAAATTGCTTCTAAACCTGAAGGCTTTGTTGCAGATTTCACAAACAAAATTCTTCTCAGCGTGAAAACTTTGCTGATGTTGTTGTAGCATTTTGTCATTCGAAAAAATCCTCTCACATTGCCCACATGGATACTGTAGTCCGTCCGCGTTGCCCTGTGAATGGTCCAGCACAGCCTTCAAGTCAGCGAACAGCCGAACCGCTTGTTCACTAGCCTTTCGTTTGGCTTCCGAGTCGGGTTCGGGCGATTCGCTAGCCGGCCGTTTCATTGGGCTGTTGGCGGAAGTGGACTGGGCAGTTGGTTCGGCGTTTGGTGTGGGGTCGGCGTCGGCCAACGCCGAGAAGCTCTCCAACAACGCCGCCGGCAAATGCGCTAACGAAAAGGCCGCCGTTTTGAAGCTGGAATGGGTTTGGGTTAAGGTTTAGGTAATAAAAATTGTACTTGGAAATAAGGTATAAAATAGGGTAAAAAAATAAAAAAAAGTTTCAAAAAAAATGTTTTAAAGCTTGCAAATACAGTGAACTCTTGTGAAAGAACAAAGAAAACTGTCACAAAAATTGGAAAAAACGTCAATTGAAATCAATGCCGAAGTATAGGTATTAGACTTGAAAAAAGGCTTGATAAACTCGTTTCCGGGCTAGGCTGAGCCAAGACAAAGCGAATTTGAAAAAGGCTAGACCAGGTCGACGCTTGCCAGCCCGAGAGCCAAGCCTAAAAGAAAAAGTCGATACCCCGTTTTGGTCCTGTAACGAAAGACTTGTCACATTAGGCCTGAAATGAAGCCTACCAAGACCGGTAACGGGCCGGGCTGCTCCGTTCTGAAGCAACCTTCAAGAAGATCGGGCTAGGCCTGGACATTTACTTGAGAGCCCGTTTCAGATCAAGGCTGGGGGAGCCCGGCTTGGGTCTCGCAACGAAAGATTTGTCTTGCAAAAACGTTTAAAACGTATCTTTTGTTTAGCAATTTACTTGAAACTAATTTTTTTAAACAAAACTTTCCTTCTTCTCTTACCCTCAATTCTTACCCCCCCCTTCCCCCTTCAGAATACAAACGCACGCTACAGTAACCGCACGCAGCACATTGTAATTATACATGAATTCACAATAAAAAATGGCAATGTAGAAGGGCCCTTAATCCAACGTCCTTTCAAATTAATCTCGACAGTTGTGCATACGTTAGAAGTGTACAAAAGGTGGGTGGGTTTCTTAAGTAATACCTACAAGATTGACCTATTTTTGGTTGGGCGAGATTAGGTAAATTTTACAAACGTGGTCGATAAGATTAAGGAAATTATACCAACAGTGTGCTTAAGATTAGGTACATTTTACCAACAGTGTGCTTAAGATTAGGTAATGAAGGAGTAAAAATTAGTTTTGTAGCTGAGATTAGATGGTGTTGAGTACAATCTGTGCACGACAAAGACAGTAAGATACTCAGAATCTTTGTTAACAAAGAATTAACCTTTGCCTTCTATTTTACAGTACCTATACTCTTAACATACACGCATCTTACAGTACCCATACCTCTAACATACACCCATCTTACAGTATGCATGCCCTTAACATACACCCATCTTACAGTATCCATACCTTTAACATATACCCATCTTACAGTACCCATACCCTTAACGTACACCCATCCTACAGTACCCATATCTTCAATATACACCCATCTTACAGTACCCATATACCTTTAATATACACCCATCTTACAGTACCGATACTCTTAACATACATCCATCTTACAGTACCAATACCCTTAACATACACTCATCTTATAGTACTCATACCCTTAACATACGCCCATATTACAGTACCCATACCCTTAACATACACCCATCTTACCATACCCATATCTTTAACATACACGCATCTTACAGTAATCATACCCTTAACATACACGCATCTTACAGTAACCATACCCTTAACATACACCCATCTTACAGTACCCATACCTTCAACATACACCCTTCCCCTTACTGTTTACCTAAAGCCCCATAAAAATGGCCAATAAAATCGTAGCGAAATGTACAATTACAACAGGCCAAAAACTAATTAAACAGGTCCGAATAATTTGCTGTCAACAGTGCTAGTGCCTTACAGTACCGCGGCAACCCAAACACGAATGCGTACAAAATAATTGTAATGTAGGTAAAATGGCATTGTTTTGTATTTTGAATTAAAACAGCTGGTTTTTGTATGCAAAAATTTGTACAAATGATGTTTTGTGAGGTATTGGACTGCAATTGAGTATTTTTAGGCTTTGGATATTAATCAACTTTTAAAGCTGAAGCGAGCTGTGGCTAGGCTAGGTCTGCGCTGATGCCAGGCTTCAGCTAGATGTGAGTTTGGCTTGGCTAGAGCTAAGGTTTTGGTTGGAACCGAGGCTGGGGCTAAGCCGGGGCGCAGCTGGGCCGAACTAATACCCAGCCCTACTTAGACTAAAGCCAAAGTAGGGCTGGGTAAAACTGAGCAAAAGCCAGACAAAAGCCGAGCGAAAACCGATCTGGGCAAAGCTAATACTAAGCTACAGCAAAGCTGAACCAGAATAAAGCCAAGGGAGAGGGGGTTTTGGTTAGGGAAAACTAGAGTCAAGCTAAGAACAAGGTGAGACCAGACTAGGACAAAGCTAAAACCGGGCTACGACCGAGCTAAAGCATAGCTATGGTCAAGCTAAAGCCTAGATAAGACCAAGAAAGAGCCGGACTAAGGCTGGGCTGGTCTAGGCTTGCTGAGCTCTCTTTCAAATATAGAGAGGAAAGGAAGATTAGAGAGCGTGAATGAAAAAGAGACGGCCCAGAAAAGGAAAACGAGGAATGGATGGAAGATCGAAATAGCGTGCTAGAGAAGGATGATGACATTAAAACGTAGCACAAAGGAGACAAATTGTGAAACAGAGCCATTTAATTTACCAGTTGAAAGCAACAAGCTCAAGACTAAAGAGAATACGCGGCAATGACAACGGATGAATGATGTACCACAGCGAAATCATACTTCACCCCTATTACAACGCTCTATTTTCTACTCCAAGTACAATCTAATATCAGATGCTTAACCAGTAGATCTCTTAAACATCCCACGGTATTCTCTACATCCCACAGTAACCCAAAAACTTTCGATTACACTTTGGCATACAGTAACTTAATACGGTTTCGTGCGGACCGTATCAGCTTTCACAACGTCGAACAGTCCCCCTTCGATGACAGGCGGCCCAAACATGGGGCTTTTAACATGTTCCGAATGTTTATGGCCGTATTCTTTTCCGTTTTCTTTTCAAATACATTTTATACACGAGCGTCAGGCGCAATTACCGAAATGCACCGCGTTTACACAGAGAAACCTCGGGAAAGCCTTTTAACCATAAAAAATGCCGCTGGCTACGTTTGAATATGCATGCATCGTCATACCGAAAAAAGTTGGGGAATGATATTATTAGGGGAGTACGGATGTGATTTTTTACGATAAAATAGGGTATTGAGTTTGTGCAAAAAATGGTTTAAAATGTGATCATAGCTATCAATGTTAGACTGAAAAAGATATAAAGTGCAATGTTTTAAAAAAGTAAAAATATACAAGAAATGATACAGTAGAGCAACTATATTGTGTTTACAGTATCTTAAAAACCCCAAAAGCTTTGTTTCCACCTAATGTTCCTCGAACTTTTTATAATCAAGCGCCCCGTTGCTTAACTTGCCAGATCGGACGGGACCGCGCTTTCGCACTGTGCAAGGAAAGCAAAGAGCGCTAAACGGTGCAGAAGTTAAGCTTTTGGCGATAATTTTGTTTACAATGATTTAAAATGGCATTTTTACAATTTTTGATATTTGGCAAAAACTTTCTTTACAGAAGAAAAAATGGCAAGAACTTTCTTACAAATCAAAAATAAATGGCAAGAACTTTGTTTACAAAAGACAAAAAGACAAAAATTTTATTTATAAAACAAAAAATCGGATGAACTTTTTTACAAAACAAAAAATGGCAACCAAATCTATTTCCTATATTACATTCAACCACCTAACCAAAACCCCCCCCTCAATCATACCGTAACCACCCCAGCCTCCACAAAACCCAACCACATGATGGCCTGTAACATATGAAACATCACCGTCGCTTGGTCTTCCGGGAGTGTTGAAGCGGGCGGCCTCGCGTCCACTTACGAATGTAATTTACATTCGAAATAGTTTTGAATGTATGGAATATACCATGCCCACGACCGAATTCCACTTTTTTTTCTTCGTTCACATATAATGGTGAGTAAATTCCCAAGAGGCAAATGTAAAAACACGGAGAGTGCACATATTTTTACATTGCCCATTACCGCCCAATTCAGCTTATGACACTGTGGGGCCAACCCCAACTCTTAATTGGGCAATAAATTGGATGCCGGTATCCGGGACAGGAGAAAAAACGTCGCAAATGCCCTCTGGCATTTATGGGTTTTGTAAGGCCCACAACGTAATTACTTTTTTTCGGCCTCTACTGTACCTAAGTGCGGCTTTGAAAAGGAAAAAACGGTTTTTCCGGAGGGCAAAAGCATTTGTTTTCTAAATCCAATGTGTTTTTATTGTATTAGGGCAATTTCATAAATATTATTCTATTACAGTAGGGTCCCTGCATCACAAAACGCTTCAAGATTCAAAAGTTGTTCGTTGTGCACAAGCTCGTTATAAAGAAGCTCGTTATACAAGAGTTCGTTATACAGGAGTTCAACTGTACTACCGTTAGTCCATCACGGGCTGCATCTAAGTCTCCTTAAAAAGACAATATTATTATATTACCACTACATCTGATTTGGTATAAAGACTAATCGACCCATCTGGTAGTTGATTCCCTCTAAGGTCTTCCTCACGATAGCTGATGCACATATATAACAAATATACTTGGTAAGATAAAGTCTGATTGAATACCAGAAGTCTTATGGTGCACCTCACCGACTGCTCAGTGACCCGAGCAACAGTGATATTTCAAAATATGAAATATCCGGGAGAGGCCCATCTATGTGAAACATTAGACACAAAGATACCTTCATTCTCCATTTAGCCTTTATCTGAATCCTAAACGTCCTTGCATATCAGCACAATACGTTCAACCTGCGGCATCGAATCAGCAACTAATCTAATCTATATCACACAGGAACAGCTACAATGGGTATCTCCCAATTGTAATTGTAGACGCTTGAAGAAGGTAAAGTAAAGTGGAACTCTTGTATAACGAACTCCTCTATAACGAAAATCCCGTATAACAGACAACGTTTGAATCCCCCGTCTACCACTACACAGTGCATTTAAAACTCCTGTATAACAAAACTCCTTTATAACGAACAAATTTCAAGTCTCAGAGCAATTCGTTATACAGGAGTTACACTGTAAATAAAGGTAAAACGAACAATTAGGATTCTTGAGATATACTATTCTCAAACTTTTCTTAAACTCCAAGTGGTTATGATGTTGATGTTGCTTAATTGAACATTGACTTTGATTGTTGTGCTCCTTAGAGCACCAACAAAGCTCCACAGCAGATTGATACAACAGTCACCTTCCACATAACTTTAAAACCCCTCTACTCAACCCTACTACTACATACTACTACTTTCTCTACCTTCACCCTATCAAAAAACTGTATTTCATTCAACAGTTACTCTCTGAACCAACAAATTTCAAAACGTATGACCCGAATTGCGTGTTCAACTTTGAAAAATTACAATACGACGTTGTAGAAGTTCTTGAAACGTTTAAAAATAAACTGTTAATCGTGTCAAAAGGAGGCTTATGCTAATCCTTGCAGTAGGGTTTTAATTATGGCATGGTGCACTCGAAAGGAATCTAATTGAGCGTACCGTGCTGCTTTGTCAACGGAAT